TGCCAATATATATATTATCGTTAGCAGATTATCTGACCCACACAGACATGCGAAAATACAAAATAAATAAATAATAATAATAAAACTGATTTTTTTAAACTAAAAAAAATTAAAAGCACGCACAAACAAATAAAAACGAAAGAAAACTCATATTTTCCACTCTCAAACTTAAAGTTGGCATTGCTCTCAATGTCATAAATCATAATGTCGCATATAAAGAGGTAGGGAAGAAAATGATGAAAAAGACTTCCCTAATATTGCTTTGGAATCCGAAGGCTAGCTGTCATATTGCTCATGTTGGCTCCTTAGTCAATTCTGATTTAGATGTTCCGTGACGTCATGTTCTTACGCAAAACAGTCAAATAAAATATTCAAGATCAAATATCTGGAATAAGTGTTACTTAACTCTAACATCTATGAAACCAACTAATATATCGAAGATTTAAGGGGGGGAAACGGGATGTGGATGATGTGTCCCTCAAATAAATAATACAAAAAAAAAAAAAACTACTCTAAATTATTCTAAAAGCAAAATAAAAATAAATAAAAGGGACAGAAATGTTGAGTTGCCTTCCAACCAGTGCTTTGTTTAAAGTCTTTAGTTCGACTTTTGTTGTTTAGGCTAGTCTGCATTATTAAGTTGCACGATTGTCTTCTTGCTGGAGGAGTCACCTCCCCAATAAGTTTTCAACCGCTGTCCATTTATTTTGAACCTTCTTTGTTGATCTAGTGAAACTACCTCAACTGTGCCATTTGGATAAACAGCTACAACAGTGAACGGACCCAACCACCTTGATTTTAACTTGCCTGGAAAGAGCTTGATGCGTGAGTTGAACATCAATACTTGCTGACCAACCTCAAAATTCTTTTCCCGTATATGCTTATCGTTAATACTTGCTGACCAACCTCAAACTTCTTTCTCGTATATGCTTATCATGCAATTTCTTGGTTTTCTCCTTATAAATTTTTGCATTCTCATATGAATCCAAACAGAACTCATCGAGCTCATGAAGTTGAAGAATCCTCTCTTCCCCTGCTGCTTTCAGATTAAAATTTTGCAAGTGTGATGCCCAGTATGCCTTATGCTCGAGCTCAACAGGTAGATGGCAGGCCTTCCAAAAACCAGCCTATATATAGACGTGCCTCTTGGAGTCTTGAATGCCGTTCTATACGCCTAAAGTGCATCGTCCAATTTCTTAGCCCAATCTTTACGTGATGCATTGACTGTAACTTCGAGAATTTGCTTTAACTCCCTGTTGGAGATTTCCACTTGCCCACTGGTTTGAGGATGATATGGAGTTGAGACACGATGGTTCACTCCATATTTAGCCAACGATGACGCAAATTGGCTGTTGCAAAAATGTTTTCCACCATCACTAATAATCACCATTGGGGTGCCATACCTCGTGAAAATATTCTTTTTCAAAAATTGAGTTACCAATCGGCCGTCGTTAGTTGGCAAAGCCACAGCTTCAACCCATTTAGACACGTAATCTATTGCCACCAATATGTATTATTGATCGCAGGAAGAAGGGAAAGGTCCCATAAAGTTAGTGCCCTACACGTTGAATATCTCAACCTCCAAAATGCTGTTTAAGGGCATCTCGTTCTTCCGTGAGATGTTTCTGATCCTTTGGCACTTATCACAATTTTTCACCACATAATGTGCATCCTTGAACAATGTAGGCCAATAAAAATCTGATTGCAGTACCTTTGCTGTTGTCTTGATTGCTGCAAAGTGACCTCCATACAGTGCAGAGTGACATGATTCCAATATTTGATGCTGCTCTACTTCAGGCACACAACGGTGTATAATCTGATCTGAACCCCTTCTGTAAAGAAACGAATCATCCCAAAAGTAGTGTTTCAGGCCACTAAAAAATTTCTTCTTCTGATGACTTGAGTAATCTAGTGGAATGATGGAGCGGGCCAAATAGTTGACATAATCAGCATACCATGGCGTAGTGATGATCTGAAAAAACATCTCATCCTGAAAAACTTCATTTATCACCTTTGTGGGGTGTGGTTTATATGATTCAAGACGAGATAGATGATTAGCAATAATGTTTTCATTCCCTTTTTTATCTCGAATTTCCAAATCAAACTCTTACAATAGCAGTAACCATCGAATAAGTCTCGACTTTGCATCCTTGTAGCTCATTAGATACTTTGAAGCTGAGTGATCCGTGTAGACAATCACTTTCGAACCGATCAAATATAACCTGAATTTGTAAACGGCGAACACCAATGCTAAAAGCTCTTTCTCTATAGTCGAATAATTCAACTTAGCCTCATACAAAGTCTTACTGGCGTAGTGAATGACATAAGACCTTTTTTCCTTGCGTTGACTCGAAATTGCCCCCATCGCATGATCACTGGCATCATACAGAAGCTCAAACGGATAATCCCAATCTGAAGAAGTCAATACTGGAGCAGAGACTAATTTTTCCTTTAAAGTGTTGAAAGCCGTTAAGCATTCCTCAGTAAAATGAAATCCGTCAAGCATTCAAGGCATTTCTTAAATGACTTTCCAAAGACTAAAAAATCATCCATAAATACCTCAATTATATTTCCCACCATATCCGAGAAACTAGACATCATACAGAGCTGAAAAGTGGTTGGAGCGTTGTAAAGACCAAAATGCATCTCCTATAAGCAAAAGTGTCGTAAGGGCATGTGAAGGTAG